AAAAACCAGTTGGAGAACACTTCAACCTCACTGGACACTCAAGTACAGACCTAAAAGTCGTAATTCTTCCACAACAAAACTTCAAAAACAGACTCCAACATAAAACTGGAGAACTGGAATTAATTTAATTAATAACAATTAAACAGCCCTATAATTCAAGCCCTGCAAGGGCAAGTCAGCTGACACAGGCCAGCTGTAGGTGTTAAAAGTGCAGTGTAGACATGCCCTACAAGGCAAGAAAGTGACTGACTATATTCCAGTCACAATTTTAAACTGGCCTTGTTTTTCCAATTTTTCAGTTGCCCTTGTATCCAATAGTGACCATCAACCCCTACAGGTTAATTTCTGGCTCCTGGCCCCAACTCATCGGTCATTCCCTGTTGGGCAGTGTTTCACTTTTAATTTTGAAGTCTTAATGTGAGGCGAATTAAGTTGAATCCATTGATTAAATCTAAAAGTAAAGAAAATATTACTTCTAGTTATCTGCTAGGGCTAAAAAACCTCCCAAAACAGTTTTTAAATCTTAGAGATGCAAGTCTATCCCTTCATGTATTTCATGACATTATACCAAAATTACAGGTTGTCTCTTGTGTCTCTTAGCGCTTGTCTACACATGAAAGTTATTCCAGAATGAGATAGGGTGTGAATGTAAAGCACAACAGCTATTTCAGAATAACTCAATTTGCGAACACACTTATTCTAGCCAAAGTGGATTAAACTAATCTGGAAAAAGAGACTCTTATTCTGAGTAAATTATCTAAGGGCACGTCTTCACTACCCGCTGGATTGGCGGGTAGCAATCGATCTATTGGGGATCGACTTATTGGGTCTAGTGAAGACGCGATAAAATCGATCCCTGATCGCTCTGCAGTTGACTCCGGAAATCCACCGCGGCAAGAGGCGGAAGCGGAGTTGACGGCGGAGCGGCAGCGGTCGACTCGCCGCCGTCCTCACAGCCAGGTAAGTCGACCTAAAATACGCAACTTCAGCTACGCTATTCACGTAGCTGAAGTTGCGTATCTTAGGTCAACCCCCTCCCGTAGTATAGACCTAGCCTAAGCGCCAAGTTCTTCAGGAATAGCTGTTCCGGAGTAGCTATTCTGGAATAGCTCCATGTATAGACGAGCCCTCTCTTCGGTTGTGACCTCTTAACAGGAATAGCCTTTTTGTCATGTTTGTACCATGCTTAGCACTTTGGGGCTCTGATCCTTCATTGATGGTCTGCTGCAATACTCCTCTGCTCTTAAAACTAAGCGCCCAATCGAACATTCATTGAACTCAATGGAAGACTCTCATTGACTTCGACATGCTTTGCATTAGGCCACATAACCTTAGAACAAATGTGTCGGGAAACACCTCAGATTAAATCTTTTCTGGTTCTTTATGTAAAAAAATGATGTGCGAAACACCGGGTGCCTCACTCATCTCCACAATGGCTGAAGAAGTCTCCCGTTAAGATGCTGGGGAGCTCATACCCATCTTACTTACATCCCCTGGGACAGGCCAAGGCTTTGACAATCTCCTATACAAGGCATTCACAATTGTTTATATAACTCTGATCAATGTGCTGTCCACATGGTCCACAGCATCCTCAGCAAAGACAATGATTTTTTAAAAAGTCAGCATATAAACAAACACATCCGTCCTTGGGACGGAGGGGACTTCTCTTTCTTTCTGAACTTAATATGGCTTATGGGAAACTCTGCCAACAGACCTTTTCTTTTTAGGGTGGAATGATTCACTCTCATTTTTCCCCCCACGGCTTCTATGATAGGAAAACCATAATCCCCTCCAACTTTCTTAATTTGAAGGGAATCCTCAACAGAGTGACCTTTTCCTCCTCCTGTTTATCAAGGGCTTGCGTAACTTTGTCAACTAATGTGGTCAGTTTCTTATGAAATCTGCCTGTCATCCAACTGAGGCAGAGGAGAGGAGACATGGACACACTTAAAGGAAGAAACGTCTGTCTTGAACTTCTTGGAGTTTTTAGATTTCTTGCAGGATTTTCTGGCTTGGAAAGTTTAAAAAGGGCAAATGCTTCAAAACACATAATGCTACAGCCCTGCTTTGCATTCTCCAGCCTGAGAGGTTCCACCCATCTGACAAGAGCTCAATAGGCCAAGTGGGAAGAAGAGCTGCAGGAGAAAGGCCTGAGAAGTAAGATGTAGAAAGCAGAAAGTCTCAGTGGCTTAGTTCTCAAAGGAGCGTGAGGCAGGGATATGAGGTCACATCTGTGTCACAATGTGGATGTGCAGAGCTGTCTCTGATGAGACAATGAGCAGGATATATCCTGTGACGGGTGTTCTGTACAGGTGAATACACCATAAATAAAAAGCTGTATTTGAAATACAGCATGAAATGATACAGCACAACTATTAAAAACCTATTGGGGGGGGGGCGCCTGGCCGCACCTCTGCATAGGAGCCAGAGAGGGGACATGCTGCTGCTTCTGGGAGCTGTTTGAGGTATGCGCTGCAAGGAGCCTGCACCCCTGACCCCCTCCTGCACCCCAACCCCTGCCTCAGCCCTGATCCCCCTCCCGCCCTCCGAACCCTGCTGTCCCAGCCCGGAGCAACCTCCTGCACCCCAAACCCCTCATCCTCAGCCAGAGACCTCACCCCCCCCAAACCCCAACTCCCTGCTTCAGTCCAGCCTCCCACACACTGAACTCCTCATTTCTGGCCCCATCCCAGAGCCCTCACCCCCTCCCGCACCCCAGCCCCCAATTTCGTAAGCATTCATGGCCCGTCATACAATTTCCATACCCATATGTGGCCCTCGGGCCAAAAAGTTTGTCCACCCCGCTCTAGAAATGACACCTCCAGATGCTGCTACATAAAGGTCCAAAGAGTGTGAGGTAGAGATTTCATGTTCATAGCTAGAGATGTGGCTCTATTCTTCCATAAATACTGTAAGAAAAGCTGCCACTCACCATTAATCACTCTGCTCTTGGTGTTATTCCTACCTCAATCCTTGCAGTGAAGGAGAGACTGCACAATAAGAGACCTGAATTGGGCCCTCAGACATGTACTCAATACATTTGCACTCTCTGTTGTGTAGCACGCATGCCAGGCAGACTTACCTGGGAATTAACAAGGCGGACTGTTGTCTTTTCCCCTACATCATTCTGAAACCCTATGGTAGGAGCCCCATTAAATCTCAAAACTGCGTCGTGGAGGTCTGAAAGCAGTAAAGAGGGAAGAGTTATTAAAAGTTAACCGATGGCTATTATGTGTGAGTGGGGGAAAACCATCTAACTCAGGTATGTTAAAAATATGTCAGGGATATAATCAATGCAGAATTTTCCTTATAATAGCTGTTTGTTAGAGATACAGAGCTAGATTCATCAGAAGTATTAAAAAGGTTGATTCTTTTCATGCTGGTATTTAAATGATTACTATGTGTGCTGTTTTCTCTGTCTTCTAATTTGGTTTAAATGAAACTAACCATTTTCAGCTGTATGTATTTTATTGTAAAAACTCAGCACACATGTAGAGAACACAAGTGACATCCAAGAAACCTGCTCAATACATGCTTGGGTAAATAGTTCTCCTTGTGATTCGTTACAAATCAGTGACTGGGAAATAATGAAGAGGAATGTCCTTTATTTCTCAGGGCCTGAAAAACCTGATACTTAATAGCCTGTGGACTGAGCCTAGTAGCTAGGGTGAAAAATAACTATGCTACCTCACTGCTCAACATGATGCCTCCTGCACTTTAAAGGAATACAACAGCTGTGTAATGTTTATAGGTACTTTGCCAAATGTAACTTACTATACTCTTAGTAGTGTTATACTTTCCCTTCATGGCTTCACTCTCTTTTCTTTCCTAGAACAGATGACTGCATAGCTTTTCCTGAGTTTTGTTTCTGTGTCTTCCTTCATATTCTCGCTTCCCTATTATTGGCTAGGCAGCAGTTCTGCAGAAAAGGACCTGGGGATTACAGTGGACGAGAAGCTGGATATGAGTCAGCAGCGTGCCCTCATTACCAAGAAGGCCAATGGCATATTGGGCTTTATTAGTAGGAGCATTGCCAGCAGATCGAGGGAAGTGATTATTCCCCTCTATTTGGCACTGGTGAGGCCAGACCTGGAGTATTGCATCCAGTTTTAGTCCCCCCACTACAGAAGGGATGTGGACAAACTGGAGAGAGTCCAGTGGAGGGCAACAAAAATGATTAGGGTGCTGGGGCACATGATTTATGAGGAGAGGCTGAGGGAACTGGGATTAGTTTGCAGAAGAGAAAAGTCAGGGGGTATATACCTATTGGGTTCCGGGAAGTGGGCGGGCGTAAGCCCGCCCACTGCTAAAGGATCCCCCCCCAGCCTAAGGGGAGGATCCACAGGGCCTGGAACTCAAATAATTACGGGGGACAACTAATGTAAA